AAGAAGTTTTTTGTTAGTGTGTTATCTCATTATCGTCATCAATACTCTCAGTCTGTAATATATATGATGTACAAGGAAGCCAGCTGAGATCAAGGTGGAAAGTTGATATGAATTATGGATGCCCTCATAAATATTTACTGACTCGAAACAACAGCACTTGCCAACTCAGATGTCACACTTTCTCAGGTGTTGCTGTTCATGCTCACTCAGGTATCACCCATGTGTTTACTCAAATGTCACTGTCTGGTGTCATCTTTGAGTGTCACCCTCAGGTTCACTCAGGCATGGCCACTTGTTGCCTACCTGCACAACTAACTAGTAGCCTCATTTTTCACACGAGATTGTCCTTCCTCCAGGACCTTCTCCTTCAGGTGTATTTTATTACCTGGTCTTAATGCAGGCACCAGGTCTTCCCTGCTTTTACAGAGAACACACTGACTCATCACATTTCTCAGATTTGGAATCAAGATTTCTTCTGTTGGGGAACTGATGAGTATTTTTTTAGTAGCAGAGATTTATAGATTTTTAAGTCCTTTTTATAGCCATTTTACATTTTTATGAGTATCCATTCTCTAACTTCTAATAAATCTGTTCATGTTTTATCATTGCCCCAGCTATAATTGGTAGCAGAGGCCACATGGTGAAAGCTTCCCCTAGATGAGCCTCAGTTCTATGCCAGTGATAGAAACTAAATGTGTATACAATGCCTATACTACTGAAGTGCTCATAGCCCTTCTTTGGTATATGTGAAGAAAGCTTAGTAAAGCCTTATAACCAGACAGACCTGAGTCCCAGTGCCATATATCCTTCAGTATGTCCTTTACCTTTCTGAGCCTGAAACATGTGGATGATAGATGATTGGGTTGGGTGATAGGGAAGGAAATAACATACATAAAAAGCTTGGTGAGACACTAGCTCAGTTTGCCACATCTATTCCTATTAATAATGTCCCTGAATGTTTCCCAGGCAACAGAATTCAGCAGTTGTCTCTACTATCTTGGTGGCAGGTCCCCATTTCACTACTCACATAACTCGTTTTGTCTAAAGGACCTAGATTTAGAAACTTGCCTAATAGACTTTAGTTATGGAAGGAGGAATTGGAGGAGGAGGAGGAGGAGGAGGAGGAGAAGGAGGTAATGAGAAGAAAAGGGAGCCTAGTGATTTTTAAGTTGATTGCACTAATTTTGCTCAGCTCCCAGACTTGCATTTCCCCCCAAATACATTCCCTATTTTTTCCTCCCTTCCTTCCTTTTTTTTTTTTTTTTTTTTTTTTGGTTCACTTGCACTGGAGATCCCATGGAATCTCATGTTGATCTATAAAGCTCTATTTCTTGCATGAAACTCTGGTTGTTTTATATTTGTGAAAAGAAGGTTTTGGAAGTTTACACAAAGATGTTCTTTTTTCTTTTTTTAAGATTTTATTTATTCATGAGAGAGACAGAGACAGAGACATAGGCAGAAGGAAAGCAGGCTCCCCATGGGGAGCCTGATGTGGGACTCGATCCTAGGACCCCGGGATCACGACCTGAGCCAAAGGCAGATGCTCAACCACTGAGCCACCCAGGTGCCCCAAGATGTAAGTTCTTGAGGTACCTGACTGGCTCAGTCAGTCCAGCCTGTGACTCTTTTTTTTTTTTTTTTTCAGCCTGTGACTCTTGATCTCAGGATTGTGAGTTTGAGCCCCACACTGAGTGTAGAGATTACTTTTAAAAATTTTAAAATCTTAAAAATATATTTTTTTTATTTAAATGAGTATTTACTGGGTGAGAGGAGGGGGCTTGAGTGGGCTCAGTTGGTTAAACATTGGGCTCTTGATTTTGGCTCAGGTCATGATCTCAGGGTCTTGAGATTGAGTCCTGCTTGGGGCTCAGCAGGAAGTCTGCTTGAGTTTCTTTCTGCCCCTCCCCTCTTTTTTTTTTTTTTTTAAAAGAGTATTTATTGAGAATTTACCATGTCCCAGTCATGATTCTAAATGTTTTACATGTATCATCTTGTATAATCTTTTTTAGTTCTCATAAGTAACCTATGAGATTATCACTTTATAGATAAGAAACTGGGGCTCTGAAAAGTTGAGTGGCTTGTAAAATTTTGCTCATTGCAAAAGTTCACACAACCTATGCCAGAGCTGTCACGTAAACCTAGACATTCTAACTTCAGACTTCACTACCTTAACCACTACACTTGAGTCTGTATGTCACTTAGAAGTTTGATGATCTTCACAAACTGAGTCATTTTTACTTAGAGTTCAGCTGCTTTATTTCATAGTTTCTGAAAGGAATGGTGATTTCAGGCTGTTTCTGAAGCTGAGGAAATGATCAGAACAGAAATTCTTTCATGCCTTCCCTAAAAGGCATTTACACAGGAAAGGACTCCTCAACACGTTAGGTTTTCTGCGACATACTCATAGGTGACCAGTGCATCATGATGGACAAGGTAGACAAGGTGCATGAAAAACAAAGTGTAAAACTCTGTAATAGAATCCCAGAAGACAACCTTTCTTGACTCCCCTAGGGGTGAGCCACAAACCATCCTGTGAGTTTCTCAGTATCCACAGTTCCTTTTGCTAGGTAGAGCCTTAAGGCCTCTGAGCTCTCACTATGTCCCAGCAGAAGTAGCATCATTACTCTCACATGTGGCAGAGGGCACCTGGCTTATATCCCTAGCCTGACCATATTTGACCTATGTGACTTGGATAAGTCTCTAATTTCTCTGGGTTCCTTCCCTTATCAAGCATATTGTTTACACAAATGTAGAAATTTAAAAGATCTCCCCTGTCTCTTCACGGAGCTTGTAAGAGACCAAAAACAAACAAACAAACAAAGCAAAAGAGGTGTGAGAACCCTAAAACTAGAAGGAATTACACCAGAATCTTGTTAACTCTGGGACTATGGGAAGTATGTATTTTCTTCTTGATACTTTTCCTGTATTTTCCAAGTTTTCCACAGTAAGCACATCTTCCTTTTCTAATAGAGAAAAAGGAAATACAAGTTTGATAAAAAGAACATCACATAATCATGACATTACAGTCTAAGTAAGCATGAAGTCAGAGTGACAGGAGAGAGGCCACGATGAAGAAGCACAGTTGAACTAGATGGTTCAGTTACAGATACACCTTACATGGCCTAGCCAGCATCTGAGCTTAGTTAGCGGTGCAGGTTTAAGGGACTACTGCTCTTACTCTTCTGATTTCCAAGTAGCATAACATTCTAGCCATGCAGTTGAAAATCCAGTGTTAAAAATTAACAGGTTCTTCTCTTTATAAAAAAAAGTTATCAGATACTTGTGATACTCTTAGCAGATTATGTACAAAATAAGTGTATCTAAAATATGATTCTAAATTTGATTCTAAAATACAATTCTAAATCGCATACACAGATAGTGCTTGCTTCGGCAGCACATATACTAAATCTCATGCACAGATAATCTTTAGAAACACAACTGCTTAAACCATGCAAGAACTTATTATTAGTTAAACTTTTAAAAAGTACCTGCATGTTTTTATGACCTGTTGTTGAAGTTTGATTCTGGAAGCTTTTAGACTTTTAATTTGGGAACTGTGGCTATGTTCAGTATAATATAAATTAAAATTTTGATTTGAGGACTTCCTTACCCTTAATTCACTGGAAAACAAATAGGTTTATCATAAGTCCCTGACAGTGTGGAAACCACAGGAGCTTTGGAGTCAGGCATACTGGATATGGAATTTGGTTCTGCCCACAATAGCTGTGAGCAAATCAACCCCCTTTTTTTTTTTAAGATTTTATTCATTTATATACAGAGAGACAGTATAAACAGAGAGAGGCAGAGAAAGAGGGAGGGACAGAGAATCTCAAGCCGACTGTGCAGAGCCCCACCCAGGGCTCAGTCCCACCACCTTGAGATCATGACCTGAGCTGAAACCAGGAGTTAGATGCTCAACCGACTGAGCCACCCAGGTGCCCCGCTAATCAGCCTTTTGAGTTTATTCAACATATACTAATAAAGATTTTTTTATTTTTAAGTAATCTCTATACCCAGCGTGGAGCACAAACTCACAACCCCAAGATCAAGAGTCACACATTCCATTGACTGAGCCAGCCAGGCACACCTCTATCAAATATTTCTTCACTTTTTTGATTCTCAGTAATCAACATTCCTCCATCTAAAATCAGGGCAGCAGTGGGTGCCTGGGTGGCTCAGTGGTTGAGCATCTGCCTTTGGCTCAGGTTGTGATCCCGGGGTCCTGGGATCAAGTCCCACATTAGATTCCCCGCAGGGAACCTGCTTCTCCCTCTGCCTATGTCTGTGCCTCTCTCTCTCTCTTTCATGAATAAATAAATAAGATCTTTAAAAAAATAAAAAATAATTTTAAAAAATCAGGACAGCATGTTCCTATATGACTTTCCTGTACTTTCAGTGACAAGAGGCCTATCCTGAGGCTTCACCTCTACTCCTTTCCCTGTGGGCCAGAGGGACCTAAGTTAATCTTTTCTCCTATTTGGAGGGGCACTTGATCTCAAGGGAAATCACGGGCTTATGTCAATTGTGATAGCTCATGACTTCATTTTCACACTCTTCAGCCTGGCCTTCTTTATGAGTGCATCCTGGTGGAACAGGTGGTTATAATCAATCATTCCATGATGCACATGGATTCTGTCCTTTGCTTTAGTTAATAAGATAGATGGGTACTATGGGACCTTGCCTTGGAGACAAGTCATGCCCTAGAGATTGTAGTCAGGCTAAATCTATCAAAGATATTAAAAAGAATATATAAGATCAAGAAGTAAATTAGCTCTTGAGCTATTGAATGTGCTCCCCCAAGGTTAGTATTCTACATTGTTTGTATTGCTGTTGGATATTTATTCTGTATGATTTAATGTTTAGGCAGCTTTCTACATAGAAGGAAAATACTACAGGGTACTGACAAAGTCATATGCCTGGTCTCTGTTGCTCTCAACCAACTCGGGGGGAAGGAAGGGCTTTACTTCTTGGGGAAATCACCCTATGGATTTTATTTTCAGGTGATTCTGAAGGGCAGCAAAGAGCGCAGCACCGGGGCCACTGGAGTTAATGCAGACTCCTCCCGCTCCCATGCTATCATTCAAATTCAGATCAAAGATTCAGCCAAGAGGACATTTGGCAGGTAAGCTGGAAATATGCAAGGGCTTGCATTGTCTGCCTTTCTCTAATGTGACTTTGAAATATGTGTTATCAACAACAGGACACTCTGCCACCATGGAGTTTTTAATAAATATCAGAGATACAGAGTAGAGTTGTTAGCTCTGAAATAAATCATTGTATTAAAGTGCCATCAGTTGATTAACCATGAAGTAATGACCTATTGTTGGTCAAGCCTAAGTTATTAAAAGGGACATTGATTGCTTCTAATGTGAAACACAGTATCAGCAAAGAAATAGTAGGAAATGCATCTCAGCTTATAGGCCAAAAAAAAAAAAAAAGAGAGAAAATTAATCTATCCTTCTTGAAAGAAGCCATAAGACAATTGAGTACATTCATTGCTTCTCTGGTGCTATCTTAGCAAACTCTGCCACACTGATGGATGAGCCTATCTCACCTCTGAGTAATGAGTCTTTTTTTTTTTTTTTTTAGTTTTCTTTTCTTTTCTTTTTTTTGGCTGGAAAGCAGCCCACAAAAGTTTCTCTTTAATTGTCTAAGTGGTCACCTAAGTAATTTGCATTGTAGTCATTTAGCTTTATGGGAAGAATGCTTTATTAATTTTATGAATTTCTCACAAATGATTAACACCAACAGAAGTGTCTACCAGCAACAGCTGACAGATTAAAATCTTAGAATACTTTTGGAAAGCTGACAGTATGTCTTTACTTTCCAGAGGATGGTCCAGTGTTCATTTCTTCCTGCTGCCCCAAAATGCTGACTGGTGTAAAAATAAACCAAAGCCCCCAAGAAGTTATCACTGCTGTGTCTTTTCTCTAGGATCTCTTTTATTGACTTGGCTGGCAGTGAAAGAGCAGCAGATGCCAGAGACTCAGATAGACAGACAAAGATGGAAGGTGCAGAAATAAACCAGAGTCTTCTGGCTGTAAGTTGTTTGAAAACTTTCAACTATAATTCTCTTGGGGGTGCCTGAGTGGCTCAGTTGGCTAAGCCTCTGCCTTCAGCTCAGGTCATGATCCAGTCCTGGGATCGAGCCCTGCATCAAGCTCCACATCTGTGCTAAGCAGAGAGCCTGTTTCTCCCTCTTCCTCTGCCCTTCCCCCTGCTTGTGCACACACACTCTCTCTCTCTCTCTGTAGAATAAATAAATAAAATTTTTAAAAATAATAAAATCCTTCCTGAGAGATTTTGCCCCTCTTCTCATGCAGCTAGAGTGGGTGAAGGTGGGGTGGGGTAGAATCAGCAGAGCAAGGGCATGGTCTTATCTGACAATGGAATTCCAGAGTTGGAGATGGAGGCTGCCCAGTCAGATTCTCAGCAGTTCTAGGCAACTCTTCTCTTCTGTCCCTGCCTTCTCTTCTTTTGGTCAGTCCCTTAGGAACAGAAAAATGTTTCTGCAGATGCTGAATAGTTAACTTAGGTAAGCTTTCTCTCTCTCATCAAGTTTTTAAATTGTATTAATTTTTCAAACATAAAAACACAGAATAAATCGTATAGTGATCTCCCAAATATTGAAGCTGTTGCACCCAGCTTCAACATGTAAAAAATCTAACCAACCCTTCCTTCCCCTGGCTGAATTATTGTAAAGCATCTCCTGTCAGCCTGTCATTTCTTCCACAAATATTTCATTATCTCAGAGATTAGGACTCTTATTTTTTAACATAACTGTAATGCCATTATCATACCAGAAGAAATAATTATGTAATGTTATCTATTATCCAGTAAGATTTATCATTTCTCCAGTTGTCCCATAAATGTCTTTTCACCATTGGTTTGTTCAAGTCAAGTTGTAAACAGGACCCTTGGATTGCTTTTGATAGTCTTTTTTATTCTGTATCAGTTCTTCTGTACTCTCTCTCTTTTAATATCAATGTATTTGTTGAAGAAAATTAGGTCACTTGTCCTATAAGATTTCCCACATTCCGGGTTAGGTTGACTGCATGCCCACATTGATTTTTAACATCATACTCTATCCTCTGTGTTTTCTGTAAAGTGGTTAAGATCTGTACTTGTGCTATACAGTAGGTAGCCACTAAGGAACCCTTTAAATGTGGCTCGTCTGAAATGAGAGATGCTTAAGTGTAAGATATACCCTGGATCTTGAAGTAGGTTTCTTATTAATATTTCATACTGAATACATGCTGAAATAATTTTTTTGCTAGGTTTTTAAACAATATTTTTGGATGTTTTAGATTATATAATATTTAAATAAGATTAATTTTGGGGCGCCTGGCTGGCTCAGTCAGTTAAGCATCTACCTTCAGCTCAGATCATGATCTCAGGGTGCTGGGCTCAAGTCTTGACCACATTGGGCTTCCTGCTCAGCAGGGAGTCTGCTTCTACCTCTGCCTCTCCCCTCACTCATGCACTCCCTCTCTCTCAAATAAAATCTTTTTTAAAAAGATTAATTTCATTTTTTTTAATGTGGCTACTAGAAATTTATTATTACACATTATAGTTTGCACTTGGCTGACATATTCATATTGGGAAAGCACTGTTCTAGAAGCTTGATCAGATTGAGGTTCTGTTCTTTTGGCAAGAATTCATGGTTAGTTTTTAGACTTTCTATAGGAACACGTCAGGAGGTGCAGAATGTCTGGTTGTCTCTTTTTGTGATTTTTAAGAATTAAAGATTTGAAAGTTGTCAGTGTAATTCCTCCATTATAGTTTCCTATCAGACTTTAACATTAAATGGGTTTACCAGCCATTGATGAGCATCACCTGGATCTATTGTTTCAATAAGGATTCCAAATGGTGATTATTTTCATTCTAATATTCCTTCTTTATTAGCTGGAAAGAACTTTTCCTCAACTATCTGATTATCCTAAAATATAATTCATACAGTAGAAACAAGATAATGCTTGTTTGATTCTTTGTCTTTGCTCACCAGTTTTCAGAATGATTTGGTGTTCTAGTAACTTAAACATGGCCAATGAATTTTTTTATTGTTTTGTTTTTGTATTATTATAAACTCATTATAATCATTATTCTTTTTGCTATTTAAATTGCACATCTTTGAGGGCATCTGGGTGGTTCAGCATCTGCTTTCAGCTTGGTTCATGATCCCAGCAGTAATCTTGTAATCCCTATAATTTTGTGATTGAGTCCCGCATTGGGCTCTTTGCTTCTCAGGGAGCCTGCCTCTCCCTTTCCTTCTGCCTGCTGCCTGCCTGCTTGTGTTCTCTCTTTCTCTCTGTCAAATACATACAATACAATATAAATCGTTGGCTAGTGGGAGCCTTTTCAAGTTTGTTCCTCTGGTTTTTTGACCAACTCTATTAATCTCTAATAGCTTTCTGGCATGACAGGATGTTCCAGGCTCATCTTGTACTTTTCCTTCCCCAGACCTTGAATCAGTCAATTCTTCAACAAGCCTTGGTTTTAGAAGAAAATGGCATTTAGAGACCATTTAGGGATGCTAGGGGTGCTTACTAGCACTGGGCTAGTCCTTGCTTCTCCCCCTTTTTGTCAGACAGAGCTAGGAAATAGAGTTTCTTTTTTTGAAAGAGGAAAATACATCAGGGATTCATACTAATAAATTAATTCAAAATTAAGATTACAAGGCTTTTGGTTAACTTTTTTGAATTTCTATTTGTATCCCTTTTCTGCTAGAATTCTTAGTTCCTAACAACATTAATTTATTTGCTCTATTTCACTATCTGTGTATTTCAAAATAATGTTGATATTTCTCATAATATGATTACTGAATTCAGATGAATATTTCTTTGCAGTTTCCTTTTCACCCTTAGGTTGTATCCCCATTTGGGATATATAGTCACAGTATTGTGTTGTACAGTCACTTGAAATCTTTTCTAGGTGTTTACACTCACAAATTTCAAATCCAGTTAAAGTAAAAAATTGTAGAAAAAGCCATATTAAGAGAAATCCAGTGACCATCCCTGTCCTCTCAATTCTATTACCTCCCTCCCCTTAGATAACCATTTTTCTATCTATATATATTTTTGTATTCACCTCAGAAGAAAAGGATAGCTCAGTGTCAACACTTTGCTCTTCTCACCTAACACTACCCTAGCGCAATCCACTTGGCTATATATAGAGGCTGCCTTGTTCTGTTTTGCCACTACATAGTGCTGCCTGTGCCCCTCCGTATTATTTAAGTCCTTTTGATCAGAACTGAAGTCTCCAGCTGGCACTTTATTTCCAGGCCTCACAAGGAATAAATTGGGAGACTGAGAGAGGTGAGAAAGACAATCACTATCTATTTTTACTTTTTCATTTTTTTGAGTAATTTTAGATATACAAAAAGTTGCAAAAGTAAATACTCAGCATTCCTTCACCCAGCTTCCATAATATTAATATCTTGCATAACTATAATAAAATGATCTAAACCAGGAGATGAACATTCGTATAATACCAAAACAACAACAGCAACAACATTGATATAATACTATTAACTAATCTACAGACCTTGTTTGAATTTTACCAGTAGTTCCACTAATGTCCTTTTTTGGGTCCAGGATCCTCTATTACATTTAGTTGTCATGTCTTCATAGTCTCCTCAGTTTTTGTCATCTGTGACGTTAACACCTTTGAAAAGTGCTGGCCTGTTTTTTTGTGTGTGTGGATCGTCTGTGAATTTGGGTTTCTCTGATGTTTTCTCATGATTAGATTGAGGTAAAGAATTTTTAGCAAGAACACCACAAAAACCGTACCCTTCTCGGTGAATCGTATCAGGTAGTATATGAAGTCAATAGGTCTTATTACTGGTGATGTTAACTTTGATCACTTAGGTGGTTTGTGCTAGGTTTCTCCACCGTAATGTTACCATTTTCTCTTTATAATTAATAAATATCTTATGGGGAGATACTTTGAAACTATGCAGATATCTGAGGCACCTGGGTGGCTCAGTGGTTAAGTGTCTGCTTTCAGCTCAAGTCATGATCCCGGAGTCCTAGGGGATTCTCTGCTCGGCAGGGAGCCTGCTTCTCATCTCCCTCTGCCTGCCACTCCCCCTGCTTCTACACTCTGTCTTTGTCAAATAAATGAAAGAAAAATCTCAAAAAAAAAAAAAAAACAAAAAAAAACTCCGGGCAGCCCCAGTGGCTCAGCGGTTTAGTGCCGCCTTCAGTCCAGGGCATGATCCTGGAGACCTGGGATTCTAAGATCATAGCCTTAGGATAGGAGGTCCTTAACTAGATACAGGTAGCTCAGGATGCTTACTGGTCTAGCTTGATTTTTCTTGTTAGACCAGAAACTACCAGGGCATTTTGACTTCCTTATGGAGGATTGTCTGAGTATGGCTTATTCAAGAAAAATCTGATCCATGGGACACCTGGGTTGCTCAGCGGTTAAGCGTCTACCTTCAGCTCAGGGTGTGATCCCAGGGTCCTGGGATTGATTCCTGCATCGGGCTCCCTGTAGGAAACCTGCTTCTCTCTTTGCCTATGTCTCTGCCTCTCTCTCTGTCTCTCTCTCTCTCTCATGAATAAATAAAATCTTAAAAAAAAAAAAAGAAAAGTCTAATCTGTTACTTTCTCTTTGCATGTGATACTTAATCCAGTGCTTATTGTTAATCTACCACTTTGCAGCTGAAGGAATGTATCCGAGCACTGGATCAGGAACACACCCACACTCCCTTCAGGCAAAGCAAATTAACTCAGGTAAAGTTAAAAGTGAGCTTTGAGTTTGTTCTGTTTATTCATTTGTTATTGCATTCATTCATTCATTCAGCAAAGCATCCACTGCTAGCAGGCATGATGTTAAGCTTGGGGGTGTGGGGAGAAGTAAAGAGTCATATTCTTTCCAGGAGCTCATTGTAGGCAGATGGGCATCCTTAGGCAGAGATGCCTGCAGTATGAGGCAGCTGGGCTTTCACAGGACAGCAGTGCACTTCTGGTCATCACCCAACAGCTTTCTGCTTATTTTTAATATAAAGATACATTTTTGATTTAGTAGAGTCTCTGAGCTGTAATATTTTCTTAGCTGTAAGACTAGTGTTTCAAGACAAAAAATAATGGCTGGAGTTAAGATGAATGAGATAGATTTTTAAATTTTTTTAAATTTATTTTTTACTTGTTTTTTTAAAATGTTATTTTTAAATAATCTCTACACCCAACATGGGGTTCAGACTTAAAACCCGGAGATCAAGAATCATGTATTCTACTGAGCTAGCCAGGCACCCCAGATGAGATAGATTTTTGACTTGTACTAATAGGAAAGATGACCAAGATCTATAGTTTAAAAATATGAAACACACACACACTAATTATGCCTATGTTAACCAATTATTCTGAGTGGTAAAACTAGGTAATTTTTTTCCTCCATTTTTCTGTCATGAAACTATGCTTCTTAGTTAATGGAAAATGCCAGTAAGTAAGCATTGTAATGGCTACAGAACAGTGGCCCATGGAGACTACTTACATACAGACTGCTATGAAGGCAGTTATGAGTGTCCCTGATTCCTTTCTACACCAACTCCTACACTCGAGGACAGACTAGAGTAGAGGGCAGTCTAGGTGAGGATCTTTGTATTTTGGGTAAGGTTCTCTGTGCAGCTAACCTTAATGGCCCCATAGGGCCTGGGACGGAACCTATAATATAACTCCTCATTTGTCAGAACTGGTGATCTGTGGGTTAGGTTCTTTCTTCTCAAACATGATTTCAACCAAAGACTTAGGAAACCAAAAAAAAAAAAAAAGACTTAGGAAACCCTTCTTTATAGGTGGTTAGTCCTGATTCTGACATTGGCTCTGTTATTTTTTAAAACAAGTTTACTGGGATGCCTGGGTGGCTCATTGGTTGAGCATCTGCCTTTGGCTCAGGGCGTGATCCTAGAGTTCCGGGATCGAGTTCCACGTCGGGCTCTCTGCATGGAGCCTGCTTGTCTCTCTGCCTGTGTCTCTGCCCCTCTCTCGAATAAATAAATAAAATCTTTAAAAAAAAATAAAACAAATAAAACAAATTTACTATCCCCAGAAAACATGTTCCAATTTCATTTTTAAAATAATAATTCAGGAAAAAAAACTGAAAACTAAAAAAAATAATAATTTGGGGGCACTTGGCTGGCTCAGTTGGTGGGGCATGTGACTCGATCTCAGAGTTGTGGATTCAAGTCCCATGTTAGGTATAGAGATTGTTTAAAAAATAAAATCTTTAACAAATAATAATGATAATAATAACTCAAGCAGTATATACAAGTACAAAGAAGATGGCAAAAGGTACCTGAAAATCCCACCTCTCAGTAATAATCACTGCTACATAAAAAATAATAATAATCACTGCTACATTTTGGTGACTATCCTTCCAGACATTTCTCTGGAATGCTGCCTACATATTTACACATAGATCTACTTAGAAAGTTATGGAATCATATGCCTTTTCACTGAAAGATAAGTTTTAGGTTTTTCCATGTACCTAAGTACAGATATACATAATTATTTTAATGGTTGTATTGTAATCAGTTAATAATTTAGTCTGTTCCCTGTTTATAGACTCCTAGATTTTTTTTTGACTCCTAGATTTTCTAATTTTATTATAATGTTGTAATGCATATCCTATGTATACTTTTTTTTTTTTCATCAACTGAGCAATTCTTTTTAGGATAATGGTCTGGGAGTGTGCTCGTTTTTATACATATTGCCAAGCCACCTTCTCAAAAACTTATACCGTTTCATGGTACATGCTACATGAATAGTATAGCAATGTAGAAAAAATGCCAATTTCCCTAAACCCTCACCAGGGCAGGGTATCATGAGTCTTAATCTATGGGTGAAAAATATTAGTATTCTTACTGGTTTGTTTGTATTTCTTTTATTGGTGGTGACGTGAGTACATTTTTTGTGTTTTTGATCATTTGTATTTCTTCTTTGTAAATTGCCTTTTTATAAGGGGGAGGGGAGCTATGACCCAGTGTCCTACACACAATAAGTAGTCAATATGCCCTTTGTTAACTGATTTAATTAACCTGGCCTTCTATTTTGGACAGGTCCTGAGGGATTCTTTCATTGGTGATGCCAAAACATGCATGATTGCCAACATCTCACCAAGCCATGTGGCCACCGAACATACTCTGAATACCTTGCGTTACGCTGACCGGTGAGTCACTCTTAGGTAGCAGGTCGTGTGTGTGTGTTTGTGTGTGTTTCATACACACCTGGGGATCTGATCTTGAGCTCCAGAAGTCTGTTCCTAAGGCAGTGATCCTAGTACCAGGAGAATGTGCAGTTGGTCATTTGAGGAATGTGCCCTGGTAGACCTTGCCATTCTACAAGTGTGAAAGTGACAAGAGAAAGGGGATATGTTCCCTACTTCAGGAGATAACTCCATCAGTGACTTATAAATGGCTAGTGGGAGGGGCACCTGGGTGGCTCAGTGGTTGAGCATCTGCCTTTGGCTCAGGTTGGGATCCCAGGGTCTTGGGATCAAGTCCTGCATCAAGCTCCCTCCGGGGATCCTGCTTCTCCCTCTGCCTATGTTCTGCCTCTCTGTCCCTCATGAATAAATAAATAAAATCTTTTAAAATAAATAAATAAATGGCTGGTAGGAAATGAAATATTTCTTTGGAGCAGAAGGCTCAAGGTTTTCTACCTACTAGCCTCAGCCCTAATCATAAGGGATAAAGTACACATTACTTGTCAAGGCAGAGGCACTTAGAGTTATGTAGGTCCAGAAGAGATCACCCAAGACATGACATGTTACAGAAGGATAAACTGAACCCAGAGAAGGGCAGGAACTTTAAATGTGCTCCCTGGGAATTAGGGTTAACACTAGCACTCTAACTATATGGTGACTATATGGTCAGGGCTCTTTCTGGGGTGACTCTGGTATCTGCCAGGGTCCCTGCCCCTCTCCCTATCTCTTATTGCGGTCACATAGGTTTCCTACCATGGGTGAAGTTGCTATCATTTCCATCCTTTACTCTGGCTGCTTTGCTGCCTGGTCCTATCTAACTTACATCCTTCTCTGTGGTTTCCCGGAAGCTGTCTCCAAGATTAACAAACTATTTGAAGGAAACCTGCTTTTTAACTACTGTTAAAAATCTTTAGTATAGGGATCCCTGGGTGGCGCAGCGGTTTGGCGCCTGCCTTTGGCCCAGGGCGCGATCCTGGAGACCCGGGATCGAATCCCACGTCAGGCTCCCGGTGCATGGAGCCTGCTTCTCCCTCTGCCTCTCTCTCTCTCTCTGTATGACTATAGTAAATAAAAAAAAAAAAATTTAAACAAAAAAAAAAAAGGAAAAAAAAAATCTTTAGTATAAAAAAAAAATCTTTAGTATCTATGGCATTTTATGAAATTCACTGGGAAGGAAAATGAGCTATCATTTAAGCTCCATGAAAACAGGAAACCTTATCTCTTTCTCTACTGTATCTACTACCAAGATAGTACTTAGTACCTAGATGCACAATAAATATTTGTGAATGAAAGGAGGAGCTCTTCCTGGGTGAGAGACTTTACAAAGTAGTTAAGAGTGGGCTCTGGAGTCAAGACTATCTGGGCCAGTAGTCTGCTTCTGCCATGAAATAGCTGAGTGGTCTGCGGCAAAAGTTTTGAGCTTCCAGTTTTATCTGACAGGATAATATTATTAGCATCTACCTCGTACAACAGTTACACGGAATCAGTGAGGATAATATGTCATGAAGGACTTAGCACCATGCCAGGTACATAGTTACCATTCAATATGTGTTAATTTAAGAAATAGTAAGGGACGCCTGAGTGGCTCAGCGGTTGAGCACTTGCCTTTGGCTCAGGGCGTGATCCCCTGGTCCCGGGATTGAGTCCCACATCAGGCTCCCTGCATGGAGCCTGCTTCTCCCTTTGCCTGTGTCTCTGCCTCTCTCTCTCTGGGTCTCCCATGAATAAATAAATAAAATCTTTTAAAAAATTAGTAAGGGATCCCTGGGTGGCGCAGCGGTTTGGCGCCAGGGCACGATCCGGGAGACCCAGGATCGAGTCCCACATCGGGCTCCCGGTGCATGGAGCCTGCTTCTCCCTCTGCCTGTGTCTCTGCCTCTCTCTCTCTCTCTCTCTCTCTCTCTCTCTCTCTCTCTGACTATCATAAGTAAATAAAAATTTAAAAAAAGAATTAGTAATATTTTAGTACTGCACACTAGTACTGCTAGAAGAAAGGCTACTTCACAGGGCACCTGGGTGGCTCAGTTGGTTAAGCATCTGACTCTTGGCTTTGGCTCAGGTCATGAGCTCAGGGTTATGAGACAGAGCCCGGAGTTCAGCTCTGCACTCAGCTTGGAATCTGCTTGAGATTCTCTTTCCCTCTCCTTCTGCCCCTCCCCCTTCTCACACGCTCTCTCTCACTGTCTGTCTCAAATAAATCTAGAAAAAAGGCTACTTCATGAACTGAAATCAGAAGATGTGAAATGATCCAAACTTGTTTCCAAAATACCAATATGACTTGAAATTTTTTACCCCCATGTATCCATCACCCAGCTTCAACAGTTAATAGTAAACCAATCTTTTCTCATAACCCCACCCACTCACCAAAATCACAGACATTGTTACCAGTTGCTTAGAGTAAGAACTTCATCATTAAGAGCAGAGAACAAGACATCTCTCTTAGTGCCTCAGTAAAGGAAGATGAAAATAACCCTTTCTCATAGGAGAAGTATTAAGTATAATTGAGAAATTATGTGACATAAGTTTGACTTTAAAAAGAACAGAAAAAGTATAATAGAAATCTTTTCCAATTTGAAGCAGTCTAATAAATTATTAAAAATGAATGAAAGCCATTTGTTTTATGTGCTTAAATGAGACCTAATGAAATTTAGGTAATAATCTATATACATACCAATGATTTTATTGCTTATTTAAAAATTTCTGATTTAAAATTTCTTCTTTCTATATACTAGAAGAATGTTGCTAAGGACTCCAGAGATAAAGTTCCAGCTAGACCCCTAATAGGTATACATCTATCAGAAGAGCTCAGTGATAGGAGTGATTTTGGGGACAGGGAGAATATATTGAAAGCATTTAGCATCAATGACCAAATTACCTGTAGGATTCCTTCTGGCACTCAGCTTTCTAGAATTATTTACTGTGACTCCTAGGGGAAGTTTTTGTATTTCTCTCTTAATGAAACTAAAATAGTTAAGATTTTTATAACAAGAAGTAACTTGGAACCGTCTAGACTTACTGTGGCACCTCTCAGCTCATTTCCTTGTATGTATGCCCTACTGCAACACCTAAACAAAGGCCTGTGGGATATATGTGTCTTTCTTTCTTTCTTTCTTTCTTTCTTTCTTTCTTTCTTTCTTTCTTTCTTTCTTTCTTTCTTTCTTTTCTTTCTTTCTTTCTTTCTTTCTTTCTTTTTTTTTTTTTTTTTTTTTAAGATTTTAGGGCACCCTGGGTGGCTCAGCGGTTTAGCGCTGCCTTCGGTCCAGGGCCTGATCCTGGAGACCCAGGATCGAGTCCCACATTGGGCTCCCTGCATGGAGCCTGCTTCTCCCTCTCTCTGTGTCTCTGCCTCTCTCTGTATGTCTGTATTTATTCATGAGAGAATAAGACAGAGGAGAAGCAGGCTCCTCACGGGGAGCCCAATGTGGGACTTGATCCTGGGACCGGGATCATGCCCTGAGCCAAAGGCAGATGCTCAACCGCTGAGCCACCCAGGTGTCCCCACATGTGTCTTTAGTCACATCCTACATCTCTTTGCTTAGCTATGTTACCTGCCTGCCTTGGCTCTCAGACTTAAAGGGAAGATTTAAATCAAGTCTCAGTATCAGGGGATCCCAGGGTGGCTCAGCGGTTTAGCACTTGCCTTTGGCCCAGGGCGTGATCCTGGAGACCCGGGATCGAGTCCCATGTCGGGCTCCCTGCATGGAGCCTGCTTCTCCCTCTGCCTGTGTCCCTGCCTCTCTCTCTCTCTCTCTCTCTTTCTCTCTCTCTCTCTCTGTGTGTGTGTGTGTCTCATGAAGAAATAAAATATTAAAAAAAAAAAAGTCTCAGTATCAGGCTTATTATCTTGGTTTTCAGAAATGGCCAGAGGAGTCATTTGGCTACAAGTAAGGATTGGCTTAAAACCAAAACAACGGAGGGACACCTGGGTGGCTGAGTCAGTTAAGCATCTGCCTTTGGCTCAGGTCATGATTCCAGAGTCCTGATCGAGCCTCTCATTGAGTTCCCTGCTCAGCGAGGTGCCTGCTTCTCACTCTTCCTCTGCCCCTCTCTCTCCTCATGTTCTCTCTCTATCTCTCTCTTCTCTCTCTCTCTCTCTCTCACACACACACACACACAAATAAAGTAAAAAAAAAAAAAAAAAATGGAAGAGACATTTAATGGGAGCCCCCAGGCAGAAGTACTGCTCCCTCCTAGAGGATTTTATTTTTTTATTTTTTTTTTAATTTTTTTTTTTATTATTTATTTATGATAGTCACAGAGAGAGAGAGAGAGAGAGGCAGAGACACAGGCAGAGGGAGAAGCAGGCTCCATGCACCGGGAGCCTGATGTGGGATTCGATCCCGGGTCTCCAGGATCGCGCCCTGGGCCAAAGGCAGGCGCCAAACCGCTGCGCCACCCAGGGATCCCCTCCTAGAGGATTTTAATGAAGAATTTACAAACCACTGGAGAGTCACATTTTTACCTGATGTCACCTTGTAATTCTAAATTCTTAGAGTGTTTTTTTTTTAATTTTTATTTATTTATGATAGGCACACAGTGAGAGAGAGAGAGAGAGGCAGAGACACAGGCAGAGGGAGAAGCAGGCTCCATGCACCGGGAGCCCGACATGGGATTCGATCCCAGGTCTCCAGGATCGCGCCCTGGGCCAAAGGGAGACGCCAAACCACTGCGCCACCCAGGGATCCCTCTTAGAGTGTTTTTAAATATCACAGAGCTAAGAGACTATCCTGACAATGGAATCCTAGCAGATACCTAATTCTGGATTTTCCATCCTCTCTAAAATTCCCATTTGGAATAAATAGAGTATATGTCTGGAGACATTTTTGATTGTCATGACTAGAGAGAAGTGCTACTGGCATTTAGTGGGTGGAAGCTAAAGATGCTGCTAAACATCCCACAGTGCACAGGACAGCTCCCTACAAAAAAGAATTATCTGGCTCCAAATACCACTAGTGCGAAGGTTGAGAAACACTAGGAATAGACAAGTCACTTTTCCTTTAATTAGCATAAGCCTGCTTATTTCCAGAGGGTTTTGCTTCCTGAGCACCCAACAAGTTTGAAGAACTCATTTTCTTAGAGAAGCCTGAAGGGAGGTAGATTGTGGGAAAAGTGGGCTCTGCCTGTGGAGTAGTAGGTGACATCAGGCTCCTGAGTTGGCCCATCTTCAAGAAGGCCCGTGTGGGCCCTACCTAGATGTAGTACAGTTCTGAGACTAGCTTCCCTGGCCCATCCCATGGGACTGAGGTGATTTCCAGAACTTCTGATCATAGAATGTTAGGTATGTTATTTCCACAGGCTACACCATCTTTTTTTGTAATACTTTTCTTTGATTTTTGAAAAGTATAGAAAGGAATTAAGGAGCATGCAAGAATATACATTTAACATAAAATGGTAATTTACAGGGTCAAAGAACTAAAGAAAGGCATTAAATGTTGTGCTTCAGCTACCAGTCGAAATCGGACCTCTGGAAATTCTTCTCCAAAACGAATTCAGAGCTCCCCTATGGCCCTGCTAGGGGACAAGTGTTCTCCCAAAAAGGTCAAGCTGGGACTTCAGCAGACATTCACAGCATCTCCTGGTTCTATGAAAGGGAAAGCCCATCCTCTGGCCAGCCACCCACCCAACATCCCTTTTGCTCCTGTACCTAAAGTTCCCAGTAAAAGGGGTGGATCCAGAAGGAGTCTTCCCCAAGAGTGGGGCATTCAAACTAGCCCTGCCAGAAGAGCTACACGGTCTGGACATTTAGCCAGAAAAAGGGCAGAAGAGTCTGTGTCATTATGCTCTGAGAAAAATCAAATGGGCAACAAAACTGCCCGCAGGTGGGAAAGCAGGGCCCCTGGCCCAGGAGAAGCCCCAGCACATGGTAAGCCCTCCAAGTGCAAGCCAGGGCAGACTGTGCGGCCTGTGCAGAAGCAGCTAGTGTCACCGGCCGAGCTCTCTTCTGGCAGGCTCCAGCACTTAGCAGAACACAATCAGGGCAGCCAGGGGAGCACACCTGCCAGGTCTGCCTCTGAAACTTGGACAAACATCCCTCCACATCAAAAGGAGAGGGAGGAACACTTGCGCTTTTATCACCAGCAGTTCCAGCAGCCACCTCTCCTCCAGCAAAAGTTACAGTATCAACCACTGGAGCAGTTTTTATGCCAGTACAGGCCCGTAGAGGGGCAGCTCCAGATTGAGACCCCTCCTCCCTTCTGCTCTTATTCTGAGAGCCAGGATGGAGCCCAAGCCGAGGACCTCGATGACAGCGATTTCAGTGAAGATTCTTTTTCACATGTCTCCAGTAAGAGGACCACAGAGCAGAGAAGCACCCTAGAGGATAGTGAAGGCTCATTCTTCCTTCATCAGAGGGAGCAAGGCCCTGAGGAGCAGGTGGCCGAAAGGCAGCAGAGTCTGCTTTTTAACCCCAGGACAGATGGTGATGAAAAGGGCCTAACTGGAAGCTGGATGTACTCCAGGGACCCCACAAACCATAGAAGAGCAGCACTCAGTCATGGCCTCAGCCCAAGTAAGGTGCCCTTGGACTGGAGCAGAGAGGAGGAATCTACCTCCTTGGGTCTTTCTCCCAGAGACAACTTGGCAGAGAAGCCTTACTGCTCACAGATAGACTTTGTACATGGCCAAAAAAGAGATGGTGGCCCAGCCTCTGATCTCAGACAGAATGCTTTCAGAAGTGAGGTTCCTGAGCAGGCTGAGGTTAGTTCACTATTCCCGGAGGAAGATGGCTTCCCTTTGTCACTATCCCATGGTGCAGTTCAAGGAGCTGCAGACCAAAGAGATACGGTCAGCACACCTCTTAGAGAAGATGGACAAGACAGCCCAACTCTGGTGACCAAAACACTAAAAAACAGTTACCCTTACCCAGAAGACCATAGAGGGGAATCAGGCACGTGCTCTGAATGTGCTTCTGGACTGATGGCTCCCCTCACTGTGTCCCTCCTAGAGAACACAGACGATGAGGGCCCTCTTCCCTCGGAGCAGCTGGCCCAGGATGAGACTGCTCACAGTCTAGAAGCAGCAGAGGGCCCACCTATGGGCCACACAATGTCATCTGATGATCAAAAGGCACTCCTACCAGCGTCTTTGGCAACTGGGCACTTGTGGCTCTCATCATCTCCCCCTGACAATAAGCCTGGTGGCAGTCTTCCAGCTCTGTCTCCATCACCCATCCATCAGCACCCACCTGACAAGCTGCCCTTCAGTGAGGCTGACCTAGAGGAGGTCAGCCAGAGCAGAGAGACTGCACTCTCCTCCCAAGAACAGATGGGTAGCCAGCGGTATGATGCTGATGCTGAGGCAACAGAGCTGAGCAGTTTCCAGGATTTCCCAGGAAAGCCCTTCACCATACATACTGGAGGACCCCGCCCTGCAACTATACTCACCCCACAAACAGAAAGTAATGATATGGCTGACCAGCCGTGGGCCCAGGAAAGAAAACATCCAACAGGACTTGGTTGGCAGGAGCTAGTAAGTTTGTCCAGAGACCCCATCAAGTTGCCCTGCTACAACAGGGACATCATGTGGCTCAAATACAGGCCAATCCCAAGGTGCTTAGCAAGGCCAGGCTCTCCCTTGGTCCCTGGCTGCTCTCCAAAGACTACAGGGACACTCCATCAGCTCACCCTGGGGCATGCACAGTAAGTTGGAATTCTCCCCAAGACTTGAGCCCCTTTGGCACCCCTTTCCACCCCAGCCTAACATATGTCTCTTCTGGGAATGGCTACTACTGGTTCAGTGTCAGAGATATACTAAAACTAAGAGGCTTTTCTCTAGCTTTTTGAGGAAGCAGGCTTGCCAGGGTGGGTGACTTTGAGTCTGGGAAAGCTGGGACTTAAGTGAGAAAAGGGAGGATCTGTCCCCTTCAGCAAGCCTATGACCTGTGGTGAGATCGGAATCCTCTTGATTCTGTTGGGTCTGTGTTCCTGGAAGGGCTGCCCAGAGGCACACCAGGTGCAGCCTGGTGCCCTCAGAACCAAGGCAAGGTGGGCACCTTCCAGGATGGCAAAGGTCAAAAACAGGGACTGGTGATTTGTGCTGCTTTCCCTAAAGGATGCTTTGGATAGTGCAGCAAAGAGAAAGTATAGAGAAAGTCAGATCCAGCAGGGTCCCTTAGCATGAGATACCGGGAAGATAGTGGGTATATGGGAACAGAGGCTACAGCTTTTGCTAGGGCTCCTAAGATCTAGGCCAGCTGTGTACCTGCTGCTCACTGGGGCTCAGGCCAGGCCGTGGACAAAGAGAAGGACTTGCAGGGATGCATAGGTGAAGTGCCCACCTGTCCCAGGAGACTATCAGTAGGGTCTGACAAAAGTCAGATCCTCCAATTTCTAGCTCAAACCCCCTACTTTAGTGCTGGGACTCCCCATAGGAAGTAGAAATGATGGCAGGCAGGGGAGGCAGTAGGCTCCACCTTGGGCCAAGCATGTCAGCTACAGTGGTCACAGCCTTGAGCCTTTTGTCAGGGAAGCTTGGGGCAGCTCCTGTAGAGGAGAAGCAGCACTCATCCCTGTTCCTCAGGGTAGCTGGGGAGCCAGGAACAGTCGAGAAGCCCCTTTCCAGTATCTTCTTGGTACATTCTCATCCCTAGACGAATCTGGAGAAGAACAGGTGACGGGAGGAGGTGGTGGTGGGCTGGCCCTAGTCAAAGCTTTGACCACTCTGGGCAGGGGCAGCTCCTGGTCAGAAAATGAGGCTCAGCTCTAGAAAAGATGCCTGGGAAAGATGGGAGGCCCAGAGGATCACAGTGTTCCCTCTGGTGTTCCAGGCAGGTGGTCATCCAAGCACACCAGGAACAGCTGGATAGAATGGCAGAACTGGGCTTCAAGGAGGAGACCCTGCTGAGCCAGCTGGCTCTTAATGTAAGTGGTTTTGGCTAGACACTTGGGGGCTCTTGGGAATTAGCCCGCAGGTAGTCTGCTGGCCATCCTTGTTTGCTGTGGTTGTGTTTGAAGTAAGGTCTGCCATCGTACTCTAAGAGAACTTGGGGCTCCTCTTACCATTCCTCTGACATAGCTCAAACAGGTACAAGGATAGGTGGGAGATGGTGCTGCACTTCCCATTTTCAAGCTAAAATGTTTCCATCCTTTGCCATTCCGCCTTTTTATTTGGCTTGCTGGAGCCCCTCCCTGTGATGGTGACATGCCACATGCAGACCAGAGGTTTTTTTTTTTTTTTTTTTTTTTAAGTAGGCCTCATGCCCAGTGTGAAGCCCAATGCAGGGCTTGAACTCAGGATCCTGAGGTCAAGACTTGAGCTGAGATCAAGAGTTGGACACGTAACTGACTGAGCCACCCAGGCGCCCCTAACTAGAAGCACTTTTACAAAAACACCCCTCTGCCCTGCAAAATACCTATCTACATAGAAGTTTCTAAAATGCAGGGGTGAGTGGCTGGCTCAGTCTGAAGTGTGCGACTCTTGATCTTGGGGTTGTAGGTTTGAGCCCCACATTGGGTTTAGAGAATAAAGATAAAATCTTTTTTTTTTTTTTAAGTTTTTCAAATGCAGAGAAATGAGCCTTACTCTGTGCCACAGTGATTATCCTGCAGACTTTCCACCTGAAGGCCTAGGCTCTCAAAGTTTCCTGCAAGAAAAGGGACTAGAAAAGCAGATCCTTGGCAGAAAAAGCCAGCAAAAGCAAAAGTCCATATTTGTCCTTTGTTTCCTTTCTCAGGATTTTGAAGATTTTGTGACCCAGCTGGATGAAATCTTAGCTCTGAAATCCAAGTGCATCCAGAGTCTGAGGAGCCGGCTTCAGCTGTACCTGACCTGCCACAGGCCGACCACAGTCCCTGAGAGGACAGTGGTATCTTAGAACAAGATCTAGTATGAGGTGATGGGGGCAGCTCAGGAACTTGTACTGAATTCCCAGGCGCTGGCGGGTCCTTCCTACAAATCCTAGAACCCACTCCGCAGTCCTGCCTACTAGCCTCTCTCCCCACCCCAGCCACACATGGCCTTGACTAGGCCCCAGCACAATTCCAAGCACAGGAGCATCTGGAAGGAAAGACAGAGCAGGCTAAAAAAACTTAATATGCCCCTTCTAAACCCTTAATATGGGGCTAGAAGAGTATTTTGTCTGGGTGGGGAAACACACTTGGGTCTGATAACCTTGTGGATATGTCTAAATTTGAGGATCAAAGGATGGGGTGGGTCAGTGGTAACCTAGAGGTCAGAGGTAACAAGCTGGGGAAGAAAACGTGAACTCAGGGGCTTTGTTAGCTGAATACTATTCTTCAAGACTTGGCCAAAAACTGATAAAACAACACTTGAGGCAGAGCTCACCCTGCCCCATTAGCTCCTGGAGACTGGTGGGACAGGCTTCATGTCCCCAGTTCCCCTCCCTTCCTGCAATTCAGAGACAGAAGAGAGTGCTCACATCACTGCATTACTCTCTTAATAGCACTCCTGTAGCAGTTCCTGGCTCACCTGCCATGCCCTTTCGTGGCAAAGGTGAAGAAGTGGAGGATCTTGGGCAGGTCTATCTCCTCACCTTACCTTTTATCCAGCATCATCCTGGTTGTGCAGTCCCTCTCAAGGGCCTGTGTTCAGTAGTATCTTGGCACTGAGTGCTCTAGTCAACAGTCCAAGACTCTGAGGTTGCATTTTTATACACACACCCCTTCAACATGAGTTCTGCCTGCTGTATATCTTCATCAGGAAGCTCAAGACAAATACAAAGTGGTCTGTCACTTACTAGGACCACTTTGGGTCAGATAAGATGCATATGTCACAGCCTTGGCCCTGATGCCCACTGTAATGTGTGAAGCTTCAGTTTCTTACAGGGAAAGGATACCTTTTTAAGGTTTTAAAAAGAGGGCTTAATTAAAAAGGTAGGAGAAGGGCGAACTGGCTTTCTCAGCCTGCCAATCCTGCCACCCTTTGCCTGATCTGGGCACTAGAGGGCAGCCTTTTCCCAGTTCCCTGGCCCAAAAGTTCTGCATTCTCCTTACCCGATCACTAGAATTAGAGACTCACTCCCAGCCAAGAGCACAAGAGGGACTGTGGGATGGCATTAAGCATAAGGACAAGAAACTTCAGGGAGGACTCTGGACTCTAGTTCTCAGCTATAGCAGCAGCACTGAGAGCTAGTGAAGCAGTCTGAATCCAGCCCTGACTGTGGCACACAGCACATAAATGCCTGATGGGTCTCACGGGAAAAGGGACTTCCTCATTTCTGAATGATTGCCCCAAAGGCCCAGCCTGTTTCACCTCCACAGTTAGTCTAGCAGGAAGGCTTGTCCTTGGTTCCAGAGACTGAGTTAGGTCAGGTTTTTAACAGATCCTCATTTGGGCCTGCTCTGCAAACCAAAAGCCAGGGCTGACTGCAGGGCCAGCTCCTGGGTCCCACTGACCTAAGAGTGAGAAGAAAGTACTAAAAAGACAGAAAATGGTTAGTACCTGTTTTCATCCCCAGCAAATGGAAGCAGGAATTCCTTCCCCACCCACCCCACCCCCTCAATAAAATAGCACTTGGCAATAAAATTATCACAGCAGGACATACCTTTTAGATTTTTATTAGTAGTTTTCTGAAGAATCAAAATAGTTAGCAAATTACTTTAGATTCATCAAGACTGTATATCCTTTGTATTTAGATATTTAATGATGTACAACAGAATATAAAACAAATGAAAGAGACTGATTTCTATGACTAGGTGTTACTCGTGTCATCCTAGAGCAGGGGGCTGTGGGGAAGAGGCCGTTCTCCAAGGACCGAGGTGGAGCTAGTGCTGGGCTACTGTACGGCAGCCTGTTTCTCCCCCACTCTGTGCTGGGAAGGGGCCAATGATTTCTTAAACTGACGACAGTTTCTAGAGCAGGGGGCTCTAAAATCCTGGGTAGCAGAAGACTGTGGTCCAAACCAAGCCAAAAGAAACAGGCTGGGCAGGGAAGCATGGTAACTGCCTGGCAAAAGAGGCAAACTCAGCGCCCCACGTGGAAAGGGCATTCTTTGCACCTCAGAGACGTTGCAGAACCAGTGTTAACACTAAGAGACTTTGTTAAGAAAAAAAAAAAAACCCTGGAAGAACCTTTCAATTGCACTCAACATGAATTAAGAGTTCAGTCCACCGGTGCAGGGGAGGGAAGCATCTAGCCCTAAAGCAGCACTGAGTCTGGCCCTCCCACCCCTTCTCCCTGCCTCCTTTTGGCAGCTGGGCCAGGTTTCAGCTGAGGACGTACAGACTCCAGAAGGACCAGGGAGGTTTCTCTGGAGGGCCGAGGTGGGAAGGACACTTCTCAAAATACAAACATGTTTAATATGGAAGGAGCCAGGGCAGTGCTAGGGGCATTCACATGCCCCAATCTTTCCTACTTTCTCCCCAGCTCAGAGACTGGCAAGCACAGTCTCCACACCTGACCTTCCACCCCCAAAAGAAAATCGGGAAGTGTGCCCCCCTCTCCTTCCCTACACGTGGGCTCCTCAGCGCCTCCTGCAGGGGTGGTTCCATGGCAGGGCCTATGCAGCCTGGTCTCAGCTGGCTCCTGCCCGAGCCATGAGGTCTTCGAGAGCATTGTCCTGGTCATTGTTGTGTAGTAGCAGAACTTCCTTAATGTCTTTCAGTTCAAAGCCCATTTCCTTAAATTTGCTCATTAACTGAAGAAACTCCATCATCTAAGGGACAGAAGAGAATAAAGATTGAAGAAAGGTGTCTGGCCACAAAGCAGGGTGGAGGAATGTCCATATAGGGGGCTGCTTGGGAGGAATCTGCATCTTTTGCCAGAGCTTCCTGAGTCTCTCTGAGGTCTCCCAGCAAGCAGAGGGTGGCTGTGGAGGAAGCCAAGGCAGACTAGTTGATGGTATGACTCATCCTTCAGAAACTATGCCCAGTTCCAAATCCTGCTGACTCATGGGTCCCACTAACCAAAATCCATACTCACACCAAGGCAGGATACTGAACCCAGAAACAGCTGCTCTCCAGGGAGCAGGCTAGGCAAAGAGACTAGCGATCTCCCCAGTCATCCAAAAGTCTAGCTTTTTGCCCAGGTCATTTCCATTTTCCTTTCCCTGGGCCTCTAGACAGTCTTCAACCCAGTGCTTCGTCAAACGTAACAACCCAAACTAGCTGAATGCCTATCTGGACACTTGAGAGAAAATGCATTCTGACTACTTCTGCCTGCAGTCACTGGTAGGGAAAGAGGGTTCTTGGCCAGAGGAAAACTACTTTGTCCCTCCTTTCCAGAGGGTTCCTATAAAACACAAAAGGTCCTACCTTTTCCTCTGAACACTGGTGCATTTCCAGAGCTTCTTCCACTAAAAGAGGGTCGAAGCCCTTTTCACAGAGCTGTCCATGTGCAAAGAGATAGTCGAGAATCTTAAGAAAAGAAAAGGAGGTTTGAGGATCTATTACCACTCTTCTCGGTGCTTCCCAAGAGTCTTATACAAGCCAGCAAGTGTGATGTCTGCTCCCCACCTCGCTATCTGGATAGGACTTGATTTTCTACTGTGAACTGCATCTAACACAACAGGACCTCAGTGACTATTTGCTGAATAGGTAGGCACACCCTTCTAAACATGAGCATTCATTTTTCAAAGGAATTCCTGTCACAACTGACTCCCGTCTCCCATAATGTCAACTCCACAGCCTGGGCAGGATATTCTAACAAAAAGGCCACGTCAGAAATGGCCCCAAGGTTTAGGACTCCAGTACCCTATTTGGAACACTATGACAAGATAAACGTTTCTAGGAGACATCTGACCATACCTCAAGCCTAGTGTGCCCTCTCAGGAGAGGTAGAGAACAGTCCAATGGCTCAAATACTCCCAGGGCTTTTCTCCAGCCTAGGTCCCAGAGCAGCCCCTTAAGTAGAAGCACTATGCTAAAGGTGTGAGTTTCCCCGGACAAATTGCCGAGTCATGCCAACTCACAACGCTGGGGCTGAGTGTGATAGGGCTCTAGGATACAAGCAGGACACTGTTCTAGGACCTCTCTCCAGGCTGATCCCACCATCACCAACCAGCCAACCAACCACTCACCTGCTCAATATTCTCTCCTTTCTTCTTCATGGCTCTCAGGACACACTCATATGAGTAGCCCATGTTGACCACTGTCTCCACACACTGCCGCTCACTGGGGGACAGTGTTTGCAGTTCTGAATAGGCCTGGGGACAGCTGGGAGCATTGGGCACTTGTGACATTGAGAAATTAGGAGGTGTGACCTGGTGGTGGAGAAACAAGAGGATCAGGCAGGAAGAAAGAAGACTGAGGTCCCAGAAGACAGGTCACTGAAGTAGCCCAGTCCAGGGGCTTGCCATTTCTGACACTAATTAAATTTTTAAACAGTCTGCCTGCAAGAAAGAGCCAGGTTTGCTGGCCAGACGTCCTGGAGAACAGTAAGGTAACACCACGCAAGGGAAAGAAAAACTGGGAAGACACCTGAAATTGTGACTGCCCTCTGGGCTCATCTCAGAATGAGAAAATACCACAAGAGCAACATGCTCTTCTGTGTTCAAATCCCTTGGGCTTGAATGAGAGAAGTTCTGAGGCTGCCCATGGGACTAATGGCAAGACGGCTGCTATGATTTCTCTCCAGGGCTCCATTATCCCTTTCTCAGGCTGTTGTATGTCAGAGTCCTAAAAAGATCATTCACCTCAGACAACCCTAACTCTGGGGCTGACTCTCTCCCAACAATGTCTCTATTCCTGCTCCTATCCCTGAGCTGGGCAGAGAGACTGCACGTGCCGCATGTTCCCCTGCATGGCCGGCTCAGGGGCTCAGGGCTTCGAGGGCACTCCACCTCTGCCCCACACCATGAGCTACAAAGATCCAGTTCCCTGCCACAGCTGCTATACTACAGAGCCAAGACTGAGGGACTATTAGTCACACCAGGCTGGGCCTTCAAGGAAGGAAATGTGACTCCAGGACCCTGCCTCGACTGCCCCGTAGGCAGCCGTAGGCAGCCGTAGGCAGCTGCTCCCTGCCATCGGACGCTATTAACCTCAGTTTGATTGGTGGGTAGAATCCCATGACTCCGCCCACCACTTCTGATAATGACTCAGACCCAAGGCCTGAAGGCCCCTCATTCTCAGGCCAAAGGACCAAACCAACCTGAACAAGGTCACAGCTGTTTATTTACAGTTTGTCCTAGCTCCCAAGAACCAGGAAAAGCATTTCTTTCAACAGAATTTTACTTTCTTTGTGGGGAGTGGGGGTGGGCAAGCAGCACAGACTCCTGGTCTCAGAAAGACACTCAAAATGATACAGCTATGACCAGATACTTTCTTCTAAGTCAGCTGGGAAAAGTCAAGACTACAGGCCTCAAAGCCCATTGTCTCCCCCTCCCTACCTCACACACAGCACCCCTGGCAGCCCAGTCAAAGGGTTCAGTCATTAACTCGTAAGAGTCACAACAAGGACAGCGACTGGATCACACCAGCCTCTCTTCAGGGGCAGAGTCTACCTGGACTTGAGAATACCAACAGCCAAATAGGGTTTGTTCATCTTGCGGACACAGTAATCACCACGTCACAGTATGTTAATGTGAACTCCCAGGCGTTAGTTACCATGTCACATGTATTCTGAATTCCCAGGGCCTAGCTTTAGGCTTGGCATTCACAGGGCCCTACTCATCAGTTGTAGAATAAATGGAGGTCTATTAGGATTTCAAAGAGGGAATTTAACACAGCAAAGTGACCCTGATTCTCCTTCTCCAAAGCCCACTGAAATAATAAAACAAAACTATTAATATTTAAGGTCAAAGAAAGAGGGAACAGCAGTGGACAATATATTTCAATGAAATTTTAGAACTTGGAATGCTAATGGAGCCATGGTAACTAAGCAGAAGCAATGAAGTTATAAATACGTGGGAGAAAGGAGAGTCAGTCAGTTCATTAGCTCCTCAAACTCCTGAGAGGGCTGCACTTCAGCATTTGGGAGGAGCAGGTACTGTTGGAATAAAGCAAGGGCACAAAGCAAGTGGTCAGAGCAATAAAACCCTTAGGCATGTCCCCCTCTCCCCCAATCCTCTTCAGGAGGTAGGTAGAAGGTTCAGTCTCTAGGACTAAAATAAGGACACAAGGCACAGCACAGCACATGGCAGAGTAAGGTGTAAAAGCCAAAAGGAGATTTAAGTAAAAGTCTACACACTACCCTTCCCCAGCCTTCCTTAACCCTCAAGGAGAATTCTCAGGTGCAACTGTAAGTCCTCAAAATGTTCTATGTGTTGACATTTTGCAGTCCTCCAAAGCCTACTAACCAACCTACAGGAAAGCTTAATGATTGGCAAACACACCCCAACACATACAGTCCCTGCATCATTAATTTAAGTGCCTCACTCTTAAATGTGAACACAAAGCCAGAGACACCAAACCAAAAGAGGGAAAAAACAAAGCAGTTGGAAATTTAAAATATGATAGAGTAAAATTTTATTTAAAAGGCTGAAATTTAATCTAGAGAAAGAGAAGGGCAGCCCAGGTGACTCAGCGGTTTAGCACTG